TGACGTGGACAACGTGAACGTACGGGCTACGTCTTCGCCTATGACTCTTCTATCAGTCGCCTCCAACGATGCGCCTGCTCCAGAGGCCCACTCGAAACCCAAGACGAAGAGGAAGCGAGCAGAGGGGAAAGAAGCGAGTAGATCGAAAGGCAAAGAGAGATTGGCAGAACGGCGGATGCAGGTTAGTCTACCTACGAGCAATATGCCTTCCAGGTCTCAGCCGTGTCTTAACCAGCACAACTCAACGGCCAGAGATGACGACACAGATGACTGGTTCCGGGAACAATTTGGGGAGCCTGTGGCCACAAAGTCGCCCGATGCATCGTCTGCTGTGCTGGCGGCTACTGAACCCTCCACGCGACCAGACCCCAGCGTTATCCATCCCAAGAAACCATCAAGACTATCCCCGCCGAGTCATCGCACTACCGCTTCCTCGAGGAAGTTGCCACAAGAGTGGCGTGGCCGAAGTCCAACGCCCCTTGCCATGCTTGAAGCAGAACTAGAAGGCGTTATCACTATTTCAGCTCGCCCTCTTTCACCCGCTCCACCTCTCGTCAAGTCACAGTCTATGTCACCAAGTCCACGTCGTAAACCTGAGTCTTTGCCGCCCATAGATGTCGACTTAGATACAGAGTTGGAGCGCGCTGTGGCCGGTGAAGTCGAACCAGATGTCCCTCCTACTCCGAAACAGAAACCAAGGCCACGACCACGGCCGAGGCCGAAAGTTAAGGCTGAAGACCCGGTGCAGTTGGATGTAGAAGACGAATTGCTGGCATTGTTAGATGGCGGGGACGGTGGAGAGAAAGCCAGGAAGCATCGCACCCACCACGCCCATACCCAGCCTCCTACCTCTGCGAAAGACGACATATCCACACCCATGACCTCGTCCGACGGCGCAGGGCCTAGTGAACATAGAGGTAGAAAGAAGCATGCGCTAAGGGTTACTAAAGCCATTGCACCAGGGTCTGCTGTTAGCTCTCCTGCGTTGGATGGAGTCTCAACAATGCCACCACCAACGAGCAGAGACGTGAGTCAAGCTCGAGATAACTCAACTGCACGTATTGCCAAGGACGAGTACGAGCCGTTAACCGCCGCCCCTACCCCTACTGCTGGGACTCCTTCAACTACTCCAGCCCCAACTCCTGTTCCCGTTGCTACAAGCAATAACAAGGAAAGTTCTATGACCGCGCCCAAGGTTAGTGAATGGGAATGTATTAACCCTCAGCAATTAACGCATGTCCTCAGAGGAAGGCCCCAGCGAAGCCGAAGGTTAAAGCCACGTCCATTGCGAGGCCAAAGCCACGCCCATCTCTCGCCAAGGAACGTTCCGCTACTCCTGTTAGTTCGCCACATGCCACTCCCAACCCAAATGAGCCCTCGACATCCACAAGTAAGAGCAAGAAGAGCTCAAACCACTTGGCGGCTAAACGCGCTGTATCCGCCGCCACCGGAGGGGCTTCACGAAGTCGGTCAACATCTGTTATGCCGGGTGAGTCGGAGGCGAACGCCAGGAAACGCTCAGGCCAAACGCAAGAGGAGAAAGGGAAGGAGGACGACAAGGAAGACGAGGAGAAGGAGGTGGATGATCGACTCTATTGCGTTTGTCGGACAAGCTATGACGAGGACCGGGTGATGATTGCTTGTGATCGGTGAGTCTGCGGAGGTGGTGCACGGAACGTGTACTCACACAGTATCTAGCTGCGATGAGTGGTATCACACCCAGTGTGTCAATATGCCAGATCTGGAAGTCGATCTAGTGGACCAGTTCATATGTCCACTATGCGTCTCGAGTATGTCGTTACTGCTCACGAGCCATTGGTATACCCTAATTATACTTAACTTGTCTAGATAATCCTCACCTGCCTTTGCGAACTACGTACAAGAAACGATGTTTGGCGGGACTTGGTCACCCACGCCCAGCTTCTCAACACGCATGTCACAAGCCCGCACGTGGGGCGTTTTCTAAATACTGTTCCGATGAATGCGGTGTGGGTTACATGCGCGAACGCATCGAGAAGTACGCGAAAAATGTGACGAAGACCGTGGCGAAAAACAGTCGTGAAGCCAAGGAACAGGGGGAGTTCCGAGGCCTCTGGGCAGCTGTGAAGGATGCAGGACGGAGGGAAGGCGTCGTGGTGAGGATGCTTCACGAAAACTTCGACTCTCCTCGAACAGAAATCGTCATGCCCCGTGTCCCGAAGACCACGCGACTTCGCGAGAGACTTGAATTCCAGATCAATAAAATATCAAGGAGAAGGGCCGAGCTCAAAGCCGAGCAGGGAATCGTCATCTGGCGAGCGACCATCCTCGACCATGCGGCGCACAGAGCGGATCGAGTTGGCCACTGCGGTTGGGATGGCAGGCTCCTCTGGTCCGACGAGGAGGTGTTGACCTTCGGTACTGAGGTTATCGATTCATACGACCGCACCGCGATGAGGTACCCCGGAGATGAGATGGCAGTGGATCGGGCAGACGAATCAGGGAACGATGATCGCGAGTGGTGGTGTACCGGCAAGAAGAAGTGCGATCGTCATGCCGGGTGTGTACTGCTTGGCTAATTCTCTACGATCGTTCCCTCGGACTTACATTTTTAATAGATGGCAGAAGCTTCGTCTAGCTGAGGTTGATCTCGAGAGGGAGCTGTTCGAGGCCGAGCTCGAGAAGCTAACGACAAGGGAGCGGGATCTCCGAAGACGCATTGAAGATCTATGTGCAGCTCAGCCTGAATCCGACTTGTTGCTGAATTCTCCCGGTGTATCTCACGCGGCAAGGACGGGTCGACTACAGCTTGGCAATGGCACGATGAGTGCCGCGAGTACACCAAGCGTAGATGATGTCGCTGTCACAATCATCGGGGTCAATGGGATCAACGGGGTGGATGATGCGAAGAAGGGCAAGAAGAGAAAGTTAGAAGGTCGCTGATAGACATGCTGTAGGATCACGATGAACTGCAGATCATTAAGCACTGCCACCATGATTAAATCGCTGCATGAGAAAGAGGGTTGAGTGATAGTCAAAATCCCCCAGCTGGTCAACTGATTCAAGGTGCGTGAATCAGATATACACTAAATGTCCAAGTCTTCGTCTGGATCGTCGTCGTCGATATCGTCTGCCGAGTCGGGGTCATAAAATATAGTACCCGTTTGCTGAGCGGGTACGGGCGCCGCACCTACATACACATTGGCATAAGGTTAGTATATGGTAGGAGATCAAAGAAGGGTGCGGACCAGTATGCGCGTATGGCAAAGGCACCTGGGTTCGTGACTGTTGTTGTTCAGGAGTGAGAGTCAAGTTAAAGGAGAGGTTCTGAGTAGGATCAGGTATTTTTGATGCCTGAGTTTTGGTTAGACAAATGCCTTGGAAAAGTCAGAGATAGACCTAACCTCCTTAGATGCCGGCTTGCTTGTAAAAAGTGATCGCAAGCTTGCAAGGTCTTTTAACTCGCAACCTGCATCCTGTGTCCATCCCTCTAGTCTTCTCTCCACACCTCCCTTCCTCCTAGCGATAACGCGTTCGGTTGAGTCTCCGCCTCTCAACACGAGTTCTACTACTATCTCTTCTGCTGAACCGCCTTCACCGTTACTGCCGAAGACAAGTTCTTCGGCATCATACATGCGGGCAGCTACCGGTAAGAAGACATTCCAGAACTTCTCAGGCGAGGATAGCGGAGGTGGGGGCGTTGAAAGGTGTGTGGCGAGATGCATGAGGACAGGGGGTGGGTGTGCGATGATGTGGGCGAGTGACGGGGAGAAGGCCGAAGTCGTTAAGAGGGGCACGAGGGAGGAAGCAGACGGCGTGTGTGCATGTATTATGAGACGAGAGGCTGGTGAAGCATCAGACCATTTTCCCAGAGGATCGTAGAGGCTGTTGAGACTCACTTGAACGGGTCCATAAGATACGCTGTAGATCCCCCAAGAGTGCGCACACCGCGGCCTTGGAAGAAAGGTTTGACAACAACGTATCCAATGAATCTATCACCACGGTCAAAGGCTGCGACGCGTTCACTGTATATTCGCGTAAGCTACGAAGTGCGAGTGTAAGTCTGCCGAGGTGTCATATACCCGAGTGTATAGCAGAGAAGAGGCGTTCCCTACAGCCGACAGGGTCATCCTCGTATCCAGGTATGTCAGTGGTACAGTCCACTTCCTGGATGCGATCTTGCGCAGGTTCGCCAATCAAGGAGCCAGTAGAGTAGAGCAGACTACATATAATGATGTGCATAGAGGTCTTGCGCAGAAGGGAACCGAGGATTGCTAGACTTGACTGTGCGGCGGATGACTGAAAAATAATCAGCGGATAAGATGGCCCACGAAGAACTGTTTGCAGGGACATGCTCGAAAGTACAACCGTTACCGAGGAACTGGTTATTATGGACCGACGTTCGACGATTGTAGACACCACAATGGTACAACAGCAAGACTAGGGCTCCAACCATTTGATTTATTTACTGTTTATAAAGTGTAATAACTGTTAACGTTCGTGTTTATGATTATTTACGATGACTCCTGTAAATCGGCGTAAATAATTCATAGGCAGCAAACTAGTGAACAGTATCGCTTGCAGCATCACTGACCCTGCTTTGGACCAGTTATTTAGCTTCGTATCGAATCAATCCCTTAGCATTATGTGTACTGCAGCTCAATCTCGGAGCCGCTTTGTCTGCTTCGTCTTAACTCTTCCCCCATAGTACTCAGGCGCCTACCTCGCAGCCGCGGCGCCATGGGCAAACTGTTTGTCTCAATGTATCAGTATAGCATGGAAAGCAATAATATGGTGAGTCGGAGGGTTTCGATGCGCTTTGAATAGTCTTTCATCCCGGGGGACCTGGAAGCCCATTGACTGTTTAATTTACTGTCTATATACGGTTTATAAAATTACACTTCTTACTGCTTATTTAAGAGGATTCCGTAAACTCCGTAAACATAAAGTAAACAGCTGGAGCCTCAAGTAAGATCGGTCACTTCGAGTTCATGCTGACTTGCAGCGTCGAAAAATAAATACGCTGACAGCAGGATTTGAACCTACGCGGGCAATGCCCAAATGATACTTGAACGAGTTCAAATCATTCGCCTTAACGACTCGGCCATATCAGCTCGCCGGGTGTTCTGCAAAGTTAGTATATAACTTGTTTTGTCGTTTTGGTTCTTCCCGCGTATTCACGCCGCATCAAGCCGATCATCAGCACGGCTGGCGCTGCACTACTTTACCAGCAGCGACACTAGTGGTGACTAGTATAGTCTCCAGTTGGCATGTCTTATTCCACCTCCTGGCTGTTCACTGTAGCAATCGTCGTCCTTGCTATTGGACTGCACTTTGCAATGTGTAGTCGTGGTCGCGGTCGGAAGTCGCTGCAGGATCCGTACGGCTCTTTTCACCTGGCATTTAATGCGGATTCTAGTTTGAGTAGTCCGCATGGTTCTCAAAACACAGACAGTCATTCGACGGAATGGCTCAACATGGGTTATTGGGAGGTGTGTTCTTCCACCTTTCATATTACGGGATCTTAATTTTGTTCTCGTCCATTATAGAACACAGATAACTTTCCTGAGGCGTGCGAAGGTGAGCTGGTCAATTCTGGTAGATGAGCTATACGTCTCACAGGATGGTAGCACTTGCGATGAGACTCATCGTTGCTGCGGGTAGCATCTCTAAAGGTCATGTTCTGGGTAGGTGGTCATCATGCCTTGAATCCACGCATAAGCTCAGGCACATGCACTCCCTTCAGACGTCGGCCATGGCGGCGGTGATTCCCTCCTCCTACATTTACGGGACGAACGCGTCCCTCGCCCTTCCGTACTCGTCGGGATCACTTCCCTATCAGCCCACTACGAGCGGTCTTCTCAGCGCGTGCATGAATGTCAAGGGTATTCTAAGGATGCTCAAGGCGTAAGGGTAGAGTTACATCTTGGGGACGCTGTATACCGGGAGTTGGGCGGTGTCAGTGGACCAATCGAACGCGACCATCCTCTTGGACCGACTGGCAGACAATACGACACCGTCCTTGCGCTCGATTGTGCCTACCACTTCCGAACGCGACAAATCTTCCTCGAACAATGTTTTTCCCACCTATCTCCAGGCGGGAGGATTGCGCTCGCCGATATCTGTTTCTCGGATGACCGCCCACCATCAACCTTCATGCGGAGTCTTCTTGGGCTCCTCGGATTGATGCCGTTGCCAAATATCATCACGCAGCAAGAATACCTACGCTGCATGGTCAACATAGGATACGAGGATGTCAGTCTCGAAGACGTATCGGCGCACGTCTTCCCAGGTTTTATGCGGTTCTTACAGAAGAGGGGCTTCGGGTGGAGAGTCTTCGTAACCGTGTTGAACGCTATGCTGGTCACCAAAGGAGCCAGGTTTGTCATAATTACTGGGAGCAAATCCGGCTTGCCCTAGTCGAAAGCCGCCCCATCCCTTTGACACAGCCATACCCGAGAACAAGCATCACTCACTCAACTACGCGGTACTTCCAAATCCACCGTCAAGATATTGATTTTAATCCCAAAACCGTTCATTCAGCCAATCAGGTACGGGCGTTTAACCTAGACAATGGACAGAAAACAATGACAGTGCTCAACCTCGTTACAGCTCCCTTTTATTTTACCGGTTGCCCATTCTAATCACGTCGGGCAGTCAACGCGACGCGCCCTGTGTGGCCATCTATTGTGTTGCTCATGTTCCAGACTCGGGCAATTTCTCGTGTCGGGCGAACAACGCTAGAGTATATATAAGAGGCGAGGCATCCCTGTTCTCAGTAGTAAACCTACTTTCTACTCACCTGTTATCAGTCAGTGTTACGCACTTAGTCTGCAGGACAGATCTTTCTTTCCATCAGTTTCTTCCATCGAAAGACGGCTGGCCTTCACGCATTAACCCTTCACTCTTTAGCGTCGCAAAATGATCACCGGTCTCACCAAAGGCATCAACCTTTACCTTGCTCCTGTCCTCTCCTTGACATCAATCATCCTGATCATCCTCGCCTACCTCGCGCCCTCTCTCGTCCTCTCATCACAAGTTGCTCTTTTGACCATATCGCCCTCGACTTCCCTCACAGAGCCAACAAATATCAATAGCAATGATGTCGACGGCCCTAGCGTATTTCTCGGGGCGCTCGGTTCGTGTTCGAGGTCAAACAACGGCGCAAGTGTTTCTTGCCAGCCAGCAACAATTTCTCCCCATTACGGTACGTCCTAGACCCATGACCAGTTCGACCCGTTCGCCCATTCTCAACACAGATCTCTCCGTCCTACCATCATCGACGCCGAGTGTCGTGAACGCCCCAACTACGACGACTCCCGCGTTTATCGCTGTCTCCCTCGCGTTCACCATCATGTTTTTCATCCTCTTCACCCTCACCACCGCCCGCAGCAAACTGGGTGCGAAGTTAGGAGCTGCCATGGACAAACCGGGCGTGCACCGAGCAACTGCTTGGATCGGCCTGTTAGGCTTCATGGTTGGTTTTACCAGCTTCCTGGTGATCAGGATGTGGTTCGGCAAGGCGGTGGAGGATTTCAACGATGCTATTCTGACAGGTGGACATGATTCGCCTGCACTCGTCGCTGCGACGAGTAACGGCTTCGTCAGTAAGTACTTCGGCTCCCGCCATCCGTACATGCAGCTCACTCACGGTCCATAGTGATTTACGTCGCTTATGCGTTTTACGCTGTACCCCTTGTCTGCTCGCTTGCAAAGCTTCACGTCATGTCTGGCAAGGCTTGAAGTGTCTGGTAATTTGTCCTTGTTTTCATACTTGCGAAGCTGTCATATCACATGGACGATAGAACATACCCTACACACTAGAACATTTGTAATACATCCTCGGCACTATATGTAGCTATATCGTTACCCAATAATCTGCTCTGGTTCATGGAAACCCGTTCAAGAGTGATGCGACGGATTAGCATTGGCGGCATTGGTGCAGGTATACAAAAACAAGATGGTGATGATACACGTATGGAAGGCGGCTGGTAGGACTTACGGCGTAATGAATCTAGCCGGTGCAGGATATGAGAGTCACATCCCGCTGCGCCCTACTTATAAACGACATGAAGAAAATCCCAAGAGATGCGAGTAATGCGGTAGAGATGTTGAAGCAATGATCAGTAGCCATCTCCTTCGCCGCCTTCCTTGCAGAAGCCTCGTTTCTCGAAGAGGATGCTAGCTTTGAGCTCGTCGCGCTGTTTCTTGTCTGCTATTTCCTTCAAGTGGTACGGTTCGAGGGTTTCCCAATCTACTTGACGAAGTGGGACGTCGTCCTCCTGATCGAGATCCTATACGCGCAAATATGACGATATCTCAGCGGGAAGACACGAGGAGCAAAAGTGTGCCCTGACGTACAATCTCACCGAGCAGAACAACATTCTCTCCTCGGATTAGGTAGAGACCGCGCTTCATTTCCGCAAATACGTCCTGGTGGTAAATTCTCTCTACTGTGTCCTCTAGCACGAGATTGGCTGGTGAACGCGGAAACATTTGAACGCGTAAGGACGTTTGAACCCTATGGTGAAGGACGCAACCCACCGAATTGATCATAAGACCTGAGCACACCCTGAAGTTTTCGACCATCTCTCAGTACTACAAGCATCTTCCCTGATAGTGCATCATGGCCGTAGATGCGAATTTGAGAGCGAAAAAGGCAGCGGCGACAATAGTCAACACGGCGGATTGTGGAAGAGGGAACATCAAGGTTCAAGGCATGAAGGTTGCGTGGGTGGGTGGTACGGCTGTGCGGATGTTGGTGACAGACGTACTGTCGACGCAATCCACGAGCGACCCCGACGTTGTGAACGGAATCAGCGAGTCCATCGTGTGTGTTTATACGCAGTGGGACAAGGAGTTGCTTAGTGAATGTTGGGGGGGGGGGGTGAAAGCGAACTGAGAGGGGAGCCGTCTGTGAAGCGCTCAGAATGAGTCCCGGTCGACACACAGTACAGTAAGTAAGTTCAACGACATAAGTACAAACTTGAGCTGAACGAGCTGGACAAGACGTGAAGTACAACTCCCCCACGGTCGTTTTCTTTGTCGAGCACGCGTTGGCTCGCGTCGACAAGACATGAGGGGTCTGAATCCGCTCAGTTTGATTTCACAGCCGCGCTGTGTCGATACGTAGCTAGTGTGAATCGCGACAGATGTTATAGAACGCTTTGAGTGGCAGATGCAGGACAAATCAGCTTGTTTACGGAAGGGTTTGATAGAGCAACAAATGGAAACTTGATATAATTACAGTGGTATCCAACAATATACAGCGTAGGGATGCTAGAACTACATATCTCACCCTCGACATGTGCTTGACTCCAGGAAAGACGAGGAGTTTAGCTTTCTCGGCCCTGTGCCTCTTCTAGCCCTTGGATAACGGTAGGAGTAGAGGAGGGAGCGGGCTCTTCTAGTGGCTCGGCGACCCCTCCGATCTCAGTCTCGCCGATAATGTAGCGGAGAACATCGCTGAGGGTGATGATACCAAGCAGACGACCCTTCTTACCACCTTTGCGCTCGTCCTCCTGAGATGAAATCGACATGGTTAGAAAAAGAGTGTCGGTCATAGTGAAGGCTACATACGTCGCCTTCTACGACAACCAAACGATGAACTCGCCGCTTCTTAATTAGCTGCATGAGCGTCGCGAGCGAGTCGGATCCAGTGCAAATGACCACTCCAGGAAAATCTGGCGACCGCTGGTTGAGGGCTTCTGAGATGGTGAGGTCCAAAGCTTGGTATGCTCCAAGACGAACGAGGGTCTGTGAAGACAATTAACATGTCGCATCCCTTGCAGTAGTATGGGACTTACGATGACATCTACAGACTCGTATAGGTTCACAACAATCCCGTTCTCGTCGACGATCGGGACGGCAGAGATGCCTCGCTCGGAGAACATATGGACTACATCGAACACAGGTGTGGACATGCTCGCCGTAGCGATGGGATGGAAAGGATTTCCGTTGGGACCTCCATCTGCGGATGGTGGCCAATTCGACACGTATGTACCGATCTTGAGCTTTCGTAGTGGCATATACAACTGCGCAATGTCTCTTGGACACTGCGGTAAAGCAGATCAGTTTGCAGTATACCACCCGTACAAAACACATACATTGATAG